CTCTGAAGTTTAAACCAAATAAAAACTTATAACTTATAAAGGGAGCTCCAATAATATCCAGACATTTACAATGAATAAACTAACCCTGAATATTATGAGATGTATTTATGATGTATCTGAAGTTTAATATAAATTCATTTTTAATAATGGATGTTATGTGAATATTGTGGCGTCTTGGCTATTAATTGTAGAAATTAAAATTAGAATTACGCCTTTAACTTTATAAAATGCCTGTGTGGTGTCAGTTCACTGTCATACATAGCCTTAAGTTATGGTTTGGTGTTTTCTTATGAAATGTTGAAGTAATAAATGTTTTTTTAGGTATGCATGTTTATATGAAGTGATATTTAATAATTTTTGAAATCTAGACCTATATATTTAAAAGTAAAGGGTTTTAGTGTTTCTAATGAATGGGAGGAAATCATTCCCTAAACTAAATCGAACTTGCATTTGAAAAATAATTTTTTAAAGTAGTAGAGTTTATGAATGATACTTCTGCTAGTTTGAATATCTTGAAGCTGCTTTTCAGGTATTATTTGATTTAAGAAGATATTGATAACTTTTTAGATGAATTGATACCATTTGGAATCTTACAATGTACTATGAGTTAATTTTTGTATGTTTTCGTAGTCCATCATTTTGCATGATGAATCCAATTAAATGTACTAGACATAAGCATATGATTTATTGAGAAGTTGATTTTTTACTGATAGCCTAAGTCCTTGCAATGGTTCTTACATATTTACAATTAAGAAAAATGAGAGCTGATTATACGTATGTAGATGAAAAATTATCTAATGATTTCCTTTCCTATAATGGATGTTGTCCTTGATATGATGGCTCTAGCTGTATTATAAAAAAAAAAACAGTTTTAAGAGGGGGTTATTATCAAGATTGCATAAGGAGACAAATGAAAATTATACTTAGAATTAAAGATGCGTGGCTAGTAATATTGAATAAGTAACATACCAAGCAAGTTTTATGTAAATTATGATTCATTTATTCAAACATTCATTAATAATTATTCTGTTGTGTACTTTGTTGACATGTTAATTTATCCTAATATTTTTAAAGATCCTGAGGGATTGAGTTTTGATAAAAGAAATATCTTTTAATGGTGACAAGGTGGATGCAGCTAATGAATGGCTAAAACTTACAATCCATTCATTAGATGAGAAGTTTCCATAATTTGACACTATGTTTTAGTTGATTTCTTCGAAGATCTGGAATTGAGTATTTTCATGGTGTTTATTATGAACTCTTCTAAAAAGGGGGACTTTAACAGAGCAGAATTTGCTGGCCATGCTTTCTAGGTTGCTTGTGATATTTTAGATGTAGAGATTAAATGCGTTTTAAAAGAAAAAATGATTGATTTGAGCCTGCTACGTATGCTAAATTTGAAGAACAAGTATTGACTTTTTAACTGCACTAGCTATGTTGTAGGGAACATTAAATCCGGAATTTAGCAAATTATTTGTACATTATTGTGATCCTATAACAGCTAAGTTATAAATTCAATTAAAAGCTTGAGATTATGTTTATAAATGAAGTAGTAGAGCTGCCTTTTGATTGGAATTTAACAAGTGTTATAATTTAAGTATTATACGTAGAATTGGCCTTATGTTTTACTTAAATCCGTAATTGACCTGATGTCTATCTATCTGCAACAAGTCTTGTGCCTTACGTAAAATGAACAAGATATTTGGTATACGCTAGAAAAGTCAAAATCATGCTTTTCACTTATTATTATTATTATTACTTTTTAATTATTATTTAGAATTTAATGCAGTAATTGTGGCCTTGTGTTTGATGAAAGTATTTGCTGTTTGAGACATTATCTATTATTTGAAGAGTTTGTTGTTTATTATTTTCATATGACACTTGAGTAGAAAATTCATAAAAGAAATTAGGGCATAAATAAACTAATGGATTGAATATTTTCTTGAATATCAGCTTATTCTGAACACTATATCTGTTTAGAAAATAAATCTATTGATGGCTTAAGAAGGTGGATTTTATCTTAGATACAATACGTGCAACATGGCTGATTTTGATTGTCTTAAAAGTAATTATGTTACTCGGTGAAGATTTTAATGAAATTTATGACGCATTAAACTATAAACATTTAAGAATAAATCAATAATTTGAGATGGCTATTCCTTTTAAAAGAACTTGTATGTTTATTTTTTTTATTTTTCTTTATGGGATTTCTTTTTTAAAGAATTACATGCTGACATTCCTCAGTTTAGTATGGGAAGATTTTATGCCTTTACGTTTATTTATAGGCTTTGGGAATATGTTAATTCTGATTTTATGTGATTGCGTCAATACTTTTAGGAAAGCATGAATCTATGTTAGTAATATTGGATTTTTTTAAAAATGAAATTTATTCTTTGAATTGAGTTGCTTGTGTCTCACATATAGCTTGTTTTAACAAAGTTATTAAGTTGCATAGGCTATCTTTGAACTAATGTCCTCGCCAAAAAAATGCAAATTTTACAAGTTATTTTTTGAAAACTCTTGGCTTATGATCTATTAATTGATGGATAAATTTCAAATTTACATAACTTTTGTCATTTATTATGATGTTTGATTAGTTAGCATACAACTAGTTAGGGTTTCATGTATCCATGCTTGATTTTGTATATAATTTATTTGCCAATATTTGTCTATGAGCTTGAATAATTTGAAATAGCTGCAATGTTTCCACCTGGGAAACTTATAGATTCAATTGATTTTTCTATTAATTCAGGGTTAATGATTTTGCACAATCATTCATATGAATATTGCATGATTTGCAATCTTGCATAAGATTATTCACGAGTTACTTGTTAATGATGAAATGGGAGATTTACATATGTATCACAAAATTCTTATGTATTTTTAATATTTTTTTTATTTGTATAATATTTTAATATTTTAAAACTCTTTAATATTATTTTAAAAACTAAAAAGATGCCTTAGGAGTGGAGGAAGAGTATTTTGGTCCCCATTTTTAAGAATAAAGGGGATGCACAAGAGTGTGCATATTATAGAGGAATTAAGTTGATGTGTCATACTTTAAAA